GTCACCTGAGGGGTGATATCGACAAGAAAGGTTTCCACGACAACAACAACATCAGCAACAGCAGCCACAACAATAAAGTGAAGACGGTTTGTTTTTATTCGATCGCGTGTCACGCAACGCGCATATCCCAAACCCTCGATGCCCGCCCTCTTTGTCTTCGACCGCACCCCCTCGGGGGCATATCTTCCGTACTTGCCACGCACATTTAGCGCAGCCCCTAAAACAGGGGAAGGGGGGCGGACGGGGGAAGAGACGGATAGACCACGAGAAAGGGCCTCTCGGAGTAAATCGCGACGAAGCATCGAGCGGGAGCCCTTGTCATCGCGGCTGCGCCCCCACTACTTTGACTGATTTGCCAGGAAGTCTCCAGCGAAAGCGCTGTCCCTGAGTTCGGGAACCTCTCTGGCCAGGGCCTCCCAGAGTAAATCGCAAGGATATATCGAGCGGGAGCCTTGTCGTCGCGGCTGGGCATCCGCGAAAATGATTCAATCACAAAGAAGTCTCATGCGAGAGCGCTGGTCCTGGGGCCTCTGCGGGCTGGGGCCTCTGTGGCTCTGTGGGCGCGCTTGGGGGCTCTGTGGGCTGCGGCCTCTGTGGGCTGCGACGGAGGGCCTCAGTGGGCAGCGCTTGGGGCCTTTGCGAACTGGGGCCTCTGTGGACGCGCTTGGGGCCTCTGTGGGCTGTGTCGGAGGGCCTCAATGGGCAGCGCGCGGGGGGGCCTCTGTGGGCGCGCTTGGGGCCTCTGCCGGCTGGGGCCTCAGTAGGCAGCGCGCCGGGGCCTCTGCGGGCGCGCTTGGGGTCTCTGTGGGCTGGGGCCTCTCTGTGGGCTGCGTCGGGGGGTTTCAGTGAACAGCGCTTGGGGCCTCTGTGGGCGCGCTTGGGTTGGGGTCTCTGTGGGCTGCGTCGGGAGTCTCAGTGGGCAGCGCGCGGGGGCGTCTGTGGGCGCGCTTAGGGCTTCTGTGGGCTGGGGCCTCTGCGGGCGCCCTTGGGCCGTTTGTGGGCTGCGCCCGAGGGCCTCAGTGGGCAGCGCGCGGGGGGCGTCTGTGGGCGCGCTTGGGGCCTCTGTGGGCTGGGGTCTCTGTGGGCTGCGTCGGGGGCCTCAGTGGGCAGCGCGCGGGGGCCTCTGTGGGCGCCCTCGGGGCCTCTGTGGGCTGGGGCCTCTGTGGGCGCGCTTGGGGCCTCCGTGGGCAGCGTCGGGGGGCCTCAGTGGGCAACGCGCGGGGCCCTCTGTGGGCGCGCTCGGGGCCTCTGCGGGCTTGGGCCTCTGTGGGCGCCCTTGGGGCCTCTGTGGGCTGCGTTGTGCGGCCTCAGTGGGCAGCGCGCGGGGGCCTCCGTGAGCTCGCTTGACGACATTGTGGGCCGGGGCCTCGGTGGGCGCGCGTGGGGCCTCTGTGTGCGCGTGGGCTGGGGCCTCAGTGGGCAGCGCGCTGGAGCTTCCGTGGGCACGCTTAGGGCCTGAGGGCCTTTGTGGGCTGGGGCCTCAGTGGGCAGTGCGCTGGGGCCTCTGCGGGCGCGCTTGGGGCCTCTGTGGGCGCGCTTGGGGCCTCTGCGGGCTGGGGCCTCTGTGGGCGCGTTTGGGGCCTCTCTGGGCTGTGCTGGAGGGCCTCAGTGGGCAGCGCGCGGGGGCCTCGGCGCGCTTGGAGCCTCTGTAGGGTGGCCTCTGTGGACAGCGCGCGGGGGCCTCTGTAGGAAGTCGGGGCCTCAGTGGGCAGCGCGCTGGGGCCGTCTGTGAGCACGCTCGGGGTATCTGTGGGCTGCGCTGGGGAGCCTCAGTGGGCAGCGCGCGGGGGGGCAAATGCGGGCGCGCTTGGGGCCTCTGTGGGCGGGGGCCTCTGTGGGCGCGCTTGGGGCCACTGTAGGCTGCGCCAGAGGGCATCAGTGGGCAGCGCGCGGGGGCCTCTGTGGGCGCCCTGGGGGCCTCTCTGGGCTGGGGTTTCTGTGGGCGCGCGTGGGGCTTCTGTGGAGAGGGGGGCCTCTGGGCAGCGCGCTGTTGGGGCGGTGGTTTTGGCCGTTGCGGGCTGCGTCGACAGCCTCAGTGGACAGCGCGCGGGGGCCTCTATGAGCGCGCTTGGGGCCTCTGTGGGCTGGGGCCTCTGTGGGCGCGCTTGGGGCCTCTGAGGGCTGGGGCCTCTGTGGGCTGTGTCGGGGGGCAGCGCGCTGGGCCCTCAGTGGGCGCGCTTGGGGCCTCTGTGGGCCGCGCGGGGGAGCATCTGTGGGCGCGCTTGGCGCCTATGTGGGTTGTGCCGGAGGGCTTTCGGGCAGCATGCTACGGTCCCTGTGGGCTTACTCTAGGCCTCAGTGAGTTGTGTGTCGGGGGCCTCAGTGGACAGCGCGCCGGGACCTTTGTGGGCCATGTCCGAAGGTATCAGTGGGCAGCGTGCTGGGGCCCCTGTGGGCGCGCTTGGAGTTTTTGTGGGCTGTGTCCGAAGGCCTCAATGAGCAGCGTGCTGGGGCTTTTGTGGTTTTGGGGCCACTCTGGCCAGGTCGTGTAGGAGTACTACAGGGGGTGTCGAGCGGGAGCCCCTGTCGTCGCAGGTGGGCCTCCGGCGCCGCTACTGAATTGCAGTCTCGGGCCACGGGCTCTCGAAGTACAGCTTGAGGAAGTAAAGAACGGGAGCCCGTGTCGTCGAATCTTGGCCCACACCAGATTGACTGAATGACGAGGGCGTCTCGAGCGAGAGCGCCACTCTTGATTTCGGGGGCCTCTGTGGCAAGGGCCTCTACGAATACATCTTGAGGAAGTATCGAACGAGAGCCATTGTCGTCGCCTTCGGGCCTCCACCAATTTGACTGAATCAGGAAAAAGTCTCGAGCGAGAGCGCCGTTCCTGAGTTCGGGGGCCTTCCTGGCCAGGGGCTCTCGGAGTAAATCGTGAGGAAGTATCGAGCAGGAGCCCTTGTCGTCGTGGCTGGGCCCCCGCCAACTTGATTGAATTGCGAGGTAGTCTCGAGCAAGAGCGCCTTTCCTGAGTTCGAGGGCCTCTCTGGCCAGGGTGTCTCGAGGTAAACTGTGAGGAAGTATCGAGCGGGAGCCGTTGTTGTCGTAGCTGGGCCTCCAACGGCACACTTTTAGGGTCAAGCCAACGCTCGAGCGGGAGCCTCGCTTTCAGAGAAAATGTAGCCGGCGTCGAGGCGAGAGCGCCCGGAACCGCTTCCGGAGATCAACAATAATTATTTTCTAGAAATGAGTATTCACCAACCACAACAACAACAACAACGACAACAACTCCAACAACAACAACAACAACAATCATTTTACCCGAACGCTCAGTGTTCTCACCAGTGCCAGGGTTTTCATGCGACGCGAGACAATACCCCCACTTCGTGGGGGGGCAGTTCAAGCTCTACCAAATATCCAAACGACTCTTCGCGACCACCCAAACCCAGCTTCCCGCCCTATGACGTTGGGACACTTCACTTCGTGGCGTGCGGACGACCGTGGCTACTACACTGGCGTGGGGTACACACCCACAGAACTTGGTCACTTATTCGGGGCGCGCGTGTGCCCAGCATCCTGCAATTGTGACATACAATACATGACACAGACAGACAGAGAGAGAGACAGAGAGCAGACAGAGAGAGAGACAGAGAGAGCGGAGTTGGTCACATTTTTGGGGCAAGTTCCTGAGATCGTCGTGTTTTTTGTTGGTCTTGCGCGCGCGAATGTCCACTTTACTTTTTTTTGCAAGGGAGTATTGAAATTTGATTATGTTAGAACAAGAAAAAGTAGCTCGCGCGAGCTCATGTAACATAAATGTTGAAAAACCATTGGTTTTGTGGGAGTCGGACAGCGCGCGCGGGATGAAATTTGGACATTTTTTTTTGAAAAACCATTGGGTTTTTGATGTTTTTATGTTGAAATCGTTACGAAACCTAAGGTTCTGGAAGGATTTCGTCTTGCGCGCGCGAATGTCCACTTTACCTTATTTTTTGCAAGGGATTATTGAAATTTGATTATGTTAGAACAAGAAAAAGTAGCTCGCGCGAGCTCATGTAACATAAATGTTGAAAAACCATTGGTTTTGTGGGATTCGGACAGCGCGCGCGGAAGGACATTTTGACAATTTTTTCTTAAAAAACCATTGGGTTTTTGATGTTTTTATGTTAAAATCGTTACGAAACCTAAGGTTTTGGAAGGATTTCGTCTTGCGCGCACGAATGTCCACTTTACCTTATTTTTTGCAAGGGATTCTTGCAATTTGATCAAGTAAGAACAAGAATTTTCATTTTATAGTGTTTTTTGCAAGGGAAAACGGACTACAACAAAACAACCGGATCCGGTGACAATCCACTTTTCTGAAGCTTTCGCTAGAAAATGAAGGAAATGAGGCTGCGGCCTAGGTTTTGGAGGGGGGTCGCGCACCAGGGGTCTCAACAATAATATTTCTTTAGAAGTAATAATATTCAACAACAACAACAACAACAACAACAATCACAACAACAACGACAACGACAACGACAACGACAACGACAACGACAACAACGACAACGACAATGACGACGACGACAACAACCACAACCACAACCACAACCACAACAACAACAAGAACAACAACGCCACAAAACCAAACAAAACATGCAGCCAGTGCAGGGGTGAGAGCACGGCCATGTGCATATCAGTGCATGTTTTCTTTACAACGATCGCGGCCATCTGGACGTCCGGACCAAACACATAGCTGGCATTCGCGACAGCACGGTTGTTGAATAAATGTTGAGGAAGTTTCAAGCGAAGCATCTGCCCAACCAAACGTCCCACCCCTCCCCGTCCCATTTGTGGGGCTCTTCGCTGATCCTCCTTCATCACTGGTAGAACCATCTAGCGAAACGCTACCGGGGAATGATAATGCGCCAGATGTCTGCGACGGTGGCGGCCGACGTTGGCGGCGCCCGCGGCGGCTGGCGACGGCGACGCTGGCGGCGGCGGCGGCGGCTGGTGCCGGCGGGTGGCGGCGATGGACGGTGGCAACGGCGATGGCGGCGGGCTGGCAGCGCCCGCGGCAGGCCCTTGGCCGAGCTGGTGGTCGGCGAGGCGGCCGCCGGCCGCGTGACGAACGTGCTCCACAATCCGGACGGCCAACAAAGGCAGCCTCGGTGTCCGATGATGGCGGATTTGGAAAGTTCATCCCTACACCCCCCTCATACGCCAGACCAGATCACCGACGATATCATCTTTCCAGTCCCGGCGATATTACTCGATTCTGGCCTCTGGGGCCCAGTGTCGGGCCCCGGGACCATGAGAAACGCATCTGGGACGAAAAGCGATCTCCGGCGGAAGGGTGGGAACGCCTCGGGAAGCGCATTGAAACAATATCGATTGATGCTTGGGAAGGCGCGCGAACGTTTACAGTGCTATACAAAGCAGTGCTTCCACAAGCGCTGATCATGCACAAGATCAGAACTCAGATTGGCACAGAATGTTTCCTTGTGTAGTGTGGTCGTCCACTCGTTGCGCGGACGTCCACAGCGAGTGAATACCTCATCAAGGATTTGCGGCGTTGTTCGCCCGCGGCGTTCTCTGGGCATCCGGAGGCTTCTCGTCGCCACGCCGGGATTCCCCTCGCGATTCTAAGCAGAAGGCACCCTCCCGAGTCGACTGGGAGGCGGTTTTTAATTGGCATGAGCTTTCGGAGGTCTGAGCGGATTCCTTTGGGTCTGCGCTGGACCCCTCTGGCGGCGCCTCTGGCCCCGCCCCCCCCACCCCCCGTTCTTGGATCCCTCCCCGCACCCATTCCCTGGCGAGACCTCCGAGGGAGCGCGTTTCACGGGCGCTTGCCTTGGGAACATTCGGCGGCGCGTTTGAACTGGGGGGCGCCCCTCCCCCCCCCGAACATTCGACGCCGTCGAACAGAACCAGGAGGACTCCCCTCCCCCCCCCCCTCCCGGACCCCCCCCCCGTTCTTGGATCCCCCTCCCCGCACCCATTCCCTGGCGAGACCCCCGAAAGTTTATGCTCGTGCAGCTCGCTTTTCTGGCCTTCCACCGTCGCGTGTGGGTCGACATCGGTGCCGAGCGGGACGCCTCCTTCGTGAGCGCGGGCGCCTCGTTCCGCGTGGGCGACGAGGCCGCTTCCAGCTCCCCCCTCCTCCCTCCTTCCTCATCTTCCTTCCTCTTTCCCCTCCCCCGACCCTCCCCCTTCTTCCTGCGTCCTGGCCTCTCATCTCAATCCCTACTCCCTCTTTTCTCCTACTCCCCAACCTCCTTGCCCTCACCCTTACCCCGGCGCTCCTCCGCCCCTCACACCCCCTCGCTCTTACCCCTCCTCCTCGATCCAATTCGATATCGATTCCTGCCAGCTCTGTCCGATCCGATCCAGATGCTCCGTCGATCTGGAGCGGCCCGAGGTCTTCGTGGCGCTGCTGTGCATCACGGCGTGGCCAGTCCGATGCGATCTCGTCTCCGTGCCGACGCGGTCCGATCCGACGCGCTTTCCGAGCCGACCCGGCCTCCAGATTCGGTGTTGGTTGGCCCCGTGAGCTTCGAAGCGAGGGGTGAATCGAAGTGAATCGAGGGTGAATCGGGCGAAGAGGAGGAGGAGGAGGACGACGAAGAGGAGGAGGAGGAGGAGAAGGAGGAGGAGGGGGAGGAGGAGGAGGAGGAGGAGGAGAAGGAGGAGGAGGAGGTTGGCCCCTTGCTGCGAGCGGGGTGAATCGCTGGACGCGCTGGGGGGAAGGGCGGAGAGCAGGCAGCACTGGCAGCAGCGGGAGCACGAGCAGTCCTCCTCTCTCCTCCTCCTCCTCCCTCCTCCTCCTCCTCCTCCTCCTCTCCTCCTCCTCCTCCCTCCTCCTCCTCCTCCTCCTCCTCCTCCTCCTCCTCCTCCTCCTCCTCCTCCTCCTCCTCCTCCTCCTCCTCCTCCTCCTCCTCCTCCCCTCCTCCTCCTCCTCCTCCTCCTCCTCCTCCTCCTCCTCCTCCTCCTCCTCCTCCTCCTCCTCCTCCTCCTCCTCCTCCTCCTCCTCCTCCTCCCTCCTCCTCCTCCTCCCTCCTCCCTCCTCCCTCCTCCTCCTCCCTCCTCCCTCCTCCCTCCTCCCTCCTCCCTCCTCCCTCCTCCCTCCTCTCCTCCCTCCTCCTCCCTCCCTCCTCCTCCTCCTCCCTCCTCCCTCCTCCTCCTCCTCCTCCTCCTCCTCATCCTCATCCTCCTCCTCCTCCCCTCCTCCTCCTCCCTCCTCCTCCTCCTCCTCCTCCCTCCTCCTCCTCCTCCTCCTCCTCCTCCTCCTCCTCCTCCTCCTCCTCCTCCTCCTCCTCCTCCTCCTCCTCCTCCCTGACGGGAGCCCCGAAGAAAACATATTCAAGAGGTCGAGGGCATGAACATCACCCTCGTGAACCTCGAGAAGCAGCGGGTGGTCGTGGACCCGCCGCCTCGCGCGGCCGCTTGAGGCCAGCACCGCGAGAGCCATTTGGCTCCCACGGCCGGCGCTCGACCTGGCCCGTTGCGCGGAGCGAGGCGGAAAGTCGCGCTTTGATTCGGGCACGCACACAGATCTCCGACGATACGGTCTGTGCGTCTAGAAGTTTGGACGACTGCGTCGGTTCCCAGAAGTTTGCCAGCTTCGGGGTGATTTTCAGCGGCTGCGCCTCGTCGAGAGCGTTACAAGGGCGCGCGAATGGTCCCGAACGGCGGCCAGAGGTCCGAGGCATGTCCCGAAAACCACCGGAAGCCATAATTGTTCCAGTCTTGGTGTTTCAGTCACGAATAACGTTTCGGTAGAGGGCTTAAAGATAAGTGTAAACAGGACCACAGAAGAGCCTCACAGGGGGGACTGGAAGCCCGAGACCGCCCAGCGAGACCGCCCAGTCCCGCAGCCGTTTCGCTTGAGACTTCCTCACACATGATTCAGAAACCGTGCTCTCGCTTCAATTTGGCGACATGTGCACACTACTCCTTATCAATAGCTTGACGAAAGACCCAATTATATGCATGTGTGAGTCCCGCGTTGTGGGTCCCGTTTTCGGTGGATCTCCCTATGGAGCCACGAAACGCGTGAGGGGTGTGCGGGAATGGGTGTGGGAGACGCACGCGGCCGCGGCCCCTGAGATCTTCGGTGGAGCCCCCTTCAGGGCCACGAAACGGTGTGTTGGGCGGGGGGCCGCATGCGGCTGCGGCCAATCGGGCCCTCGGTGAACCCCCCCCCATGAAGCCACGAAACGCTGCAGCGGGTGGGGGAACGCTTGCGGCCGCGGCAGCAGGGGCCTTCGGTGGGGCCTCCCATGCGGCCGCGAAACGTTGCACTGGGATTGGGAACGTTGGACTGGGATTGTGCGGCCGTGGTCACTGGAAGGTTCGGTGGAGCTCCCTATGGGGCCACGAACCGTTGTATTAATTAGGTGGGGGAGACGCATGCGGCCGCGGCCACTGCGGCCGTCGATAAAGCCCCCTGCGGGGCCACGAAACGCTGTACAGAGCGGGGGAGACGCATGCAGACTGCGGCCACTGGAGCCTTCGGTGGAGCTCCCTCGAATAAAGGCGCATGCAGACTGCGGCCACTGGAGCCTTCGGTGGAGCGGCGTAGGGGGCCACGAAGCGAGGCGGACTGCGCCACTGGGGCCTTCGGTGGAGCTCCCTATTGGGCCACGAACCGTGCGAGGGGTGTGCCGCAATGGGTTGGGGAGGCGCATGCGGACTGCGCCACTGGGGCCTTCGGTGGAGCTCCCTATTGGGACACGAGCCGTACAAGAAGTATACCACAATGGATGGGGGAGGCGCATGCGGACTGCGCCACTGGGGCCTTAGGTGGAGCTCCCTATGAGGCCACGAACCGTGCAAGGGGTATTATGTAATGGGTGGGGGATCTCATACGGATTGCGCCATTGGGGCTTTCGGTGGAACTCCCCATGGGGCCACGAATCGTGAGAGGGGCCCGTAGTTGGTGGGGGAGGCGCATGCGGACTGCGCCACTGGGGCCTTAGGTGGACCTCCCTATCGGGACACGCAACGTGTGAGTGGTGTGCCGATCTGGTCATGCGGAGGGCAAGGGACAGCAAGGGGAAGAGGAGGCAGGGATGGGAGGCAGGGGGGGAGGAGAGGAGAGGAGGAGGAGACGCGGAGTGCTGTCTCTGCAACGAAGACCCAACACCACAGGATGTCTGGGAAGAATTTGTCCTGACGAAGGGCCATACCATATGCAGTTGTGAACACAGCGCTTCGATGGAGCTCCTTCGGGACCACGAAACGCATGAGGGGTCTGCCGTCATGGTAGTGGTGGGGAGAGCATGCGAACCATGCCATTGAAGTTTTAGGTGATACTCCATACGGGGCCACGAAGCGTGTGAGGGATGCCCGGGGTCCGCATGCGAACGTCGCCAATGAAGCCTCTTGTACACGCGGCAGCGGCCATTGGAGCCTTCAGCGGAGCCTCCTATAGGGCACCCAGGCGCTGTACTGGCTTGGGGGAGAACATGCGGCCGCGGCCATTGGGGCCTCCGGTGGAGCTCCCCATGGTCCACGAAACGCTGTACTGGATGGGGGGACGCATGCGGACGCGGCAACTGGGGCCGCAAGTGGAGCTCCGTGTGGGGCCATAAAGCGACGTCGCGTGTGGATCGCACTGCGGCCTTCGGACAAGGAGGACGAGGAGGAGGAGGGGGGGGAGGAGGAGGAGGAGGAGGAGGAGGAGGAGGAGGAGGAGGAGGAGGAGGAGGAGGAGGAGGAGGAGGAGGAGGAGGAGGAGGACGACGACGACGACGACGACGACGAGGAGGGCAGGGAGGACGAGGGGAGCGAGACGGAGGAGGGGGGGGGAACGAGGAAGAGGGGAGACGAATCTGGACCCTCCAAATGGGGCCTGCGGTGGAGCTCCTCATGAGCCCGCGAAACGTGTGAAGGGTGTGCCGAAATGGTGCGGGGAAACGTGTGAGGGGTGCGCCGGCATGGCGCAGGAGACGCGTGTGGACCCCCCCATTGGGGCTTTCGGTGGAGCTCCTTTTGGGGGCCCCGAAATGTGTCAGGGGTGTGCCGAAATGGGGCGAGAAGACGCATGTGGACCCTGCCAGCGGGGACTTAGCGCCCGATGGGGCCACGAAACGCGCGAAGGGTGTGGTGCCGAAGTGAGGCGGGGAGACGCACGTGGACCCTGCCATGGGGGACTTCGGTGGAGGTCCATATGGCGCCACGAAACATGTGAGGGGTGTGCCGACTCGGGGGTGGACAGAACCCCCAACAGTGACACGTCGATTAGTGAATTGTCCGTCTTCGGTTCTCGAGAGGGCGCCGCGGCCGTTATTTTCCAGGCTTGCGCCCGCCAGGTTTGGGCCTCAGGTCGTTTTCACTAAACCACGTTTTACTAAAGGGAGGTCTGTCCATCCCCGACCGACATGGGGCGGGGAGACTCATGTGGACTCCCATTGAGGCTTTCGGTGGAGTTCCGCATGGGGCCGCGAGACGTGTGAGGAGTGCGCCGTGTGCCGAAATGGGGCGGGGGGGCAGATGTAGACCCTCCCATTGGGGCCTTCGGTAGATCTCCCGGAAAAGCGTGAGGGGTGTGCCGAAATGGGGCGGGGAGGCGCATGTGGACCTTTCCAGCGGGGACTTCGGTGGAGCGCCTGATGGGGCCACGAATTGTAAGCGGTGCGGCGACATAGGCTCCTGTTGGGACCTTCGGTGGAACCTCCGATGGGGCCACGAAACGTGTGAGAGGTGCGCCGAAAGGGGACGGGGAGACGCATGTGGA